CCACTACCCACAGCAAAATGCAGGCGGTTCATATTCAAATCTCTTTGCCGGCGGCAAATTTGCAGATTGGAACTTTCTTCAGGCGCGAGAACATAGTTTGAACGCAACCGACCAGTAATTGGAGCAAACTGTAGTTTGGTGCACGACTATATGTTGGAAATAGACGGTTTAAAATTAAGGTGAACGAAAGGAAACAATTATTGTTTCAGCAAACAGAAGAAAACCAAACGAACCTCTACTCGTGTAACTATTTCGGAGTCTTTGTCACGTAGCTCACCGAGGTGCTTACTGACGGTTGAACCCTAAGACAAGTTATGTGGTCCTTAGATGCACCAAATGATAACAAAAGTATAAAAGTAAAGTGTAGAAGGGGGGGACGGCTGTCACGACCCAATTTCCAACCCGGTCTGATGGCGCCTTCTCGGGTTGAAGGACAAGGCAGCCAACTATGCAGACTCCGGAGGGGCTCTTACAGCCCAAGCACTATAATCATCATAGGCCTGAAAGCCTGTTGTACATATCAAAACATTGAGGCACTGAACAGCCTTCTCAAAATACACTGCGGAGGCCTGAAAAGCCTCCTCACATATCACCCGGAGGCCTGAAAGCCTCCTTCACATCCTCAGCCATATCCTCACATATTGGCCCTCGAGCCTCATCAGTCCAAAATAATCATAAGACCCCTTCGGGCATCAAGTAAAGAAAACAATAATGCTCAGCTCAAACAATAGTTCAAATTTATCAGTTAAAACTCGCAGGTTGAGTAAAAATATAGCCTAGTTTCATTGAAACAGGTAATGACAATGCGACTGAGCTTCAAATTAAAATATTTCAAACATGAGGAAAAAACGGTTGATGATAGCTCATAGGGTAGTTCAAATTGTCGGCAATTTAAGCCCCAAATATCTGGCAATAAGACCAAGCTCATAGTGAAAACAACGTCTAGCGAAATACGCGGTAAAATCAACAACCGGTACGGACCAAGTCACAATCCCCAACGGTGCTCTACCCCACGCTCTCCTATCCGGCCGTGCAAGTCAACCTCAATATAGCACTATGGGTGCAAATCCGGGGTTTCAAACCCTCAGGATATCATTTACAATCATTTACTCACCCTCGAACCGGTGGAATCTCTAGCTCGCCGAGCCTTTGCCCCTCGAATTCGGCCTCACGCGCGTCGAATCTAACCAAAATCAGAGCCGAATAACATCCACAATATGCCAAGGGGACGAATGCCCAATCGAAAACAATCGAAAATATAGCATAAACCTCCGAAACTAGCAAAACCCGAGCCCCGGGCCCCACTTCTCTGAAAAAATTACAAAACTCACCATTACCGGATTCCTCGTCTCGCCCGAGTTCTACATACCAAGAACTCCCAAATCCGGCTCAAATGAACCTAGTCAAATCCCAATTTGAATATCAAAAACTCCAAGGCCCTAGATTCAACAATTTTAGGCTTAATTTCATGAATTTCTAGACCAATTTTCACAATATAATCGTGTTTTTAATTCAAAAATCTACCTCAATCGATTTCCTCCTTGGAAACCTCTTTATTTCCTTCAAAAAACCTTTAAAACCGAGAAGCCATGGTTGAAAAATAGACCCACCTTCGCGAACAGCTGGTTAAAAAAACATGCTGCCCAGGCACAATTTCCCTTCACTGCGGATCGCGGATGAATCCACGCCGATCGCGATGCCACAAAATGGACGACTCCCTCAATTACCTTATGCCACGCCAACAATTGATCCACGCCGATCGCGAAGCCTTAGCTCCCAGGCCTATGCGATCGCAGCTTGAAACCTCACGCGATCGCGAAGCACCTCACACTGACCCATGCGATTCTGTAACCCACTCTTATGCGATACGCGTAGAGCAACTCTGCCTCAGCCCTCAATTAAGTCTACACGATCGCAAAATCATTATACGCGATCGCATAGAACAAATGGTCTGCAACAGACCTGAAGAACAACCTGCAAACATTTCCATATCAATTCATTCGTTTAGACCATCCAAAACTCACCCGAGGCCCCCGGGACCTCAACCAAAAACACAAACATATTCCTAAAACATCGTCCAAAACTTGCTCCAATCATCAAAAACCTCAAACAACATTCAAATACCAAAACCATCGAATTCAAAACCACAAGTTTCTCAAAACTTCCGAAATGCACTTTCGATGGCAAAAACCCGAACCATACGACGTCCGAATGACCTGAAATTTTGCACACACATCAAAAATCACATAACGAAGCTACAGCAACTTCTCGAATTCTATTCCGACCCTCGGAATTCAAAATTCTCAACCATCAACGAATTCGCCAAAATACTAACTTCGCCAATTCAAAGGCCTAATTCTACACCGGAACCTCCAAAATCAATTCCGATCGCACTCCTAAGTCACAAATCATCCCCCGAAGCTAACCGAATCACCGAAAAATCACATTCGAGCCCTATAAACTACATAAGTCAACGTCCGGTTGACTTCCAACTTAAGCCTTCCTTAAAAGAGACTAAGTGTTCTCATTTCTTATCAAAACCAATCCAAATCAACTCTCACACACCAAACCTACCGATAACAAAACATGAAGAAGCAATAAAAGG